TATTTGGAATATTGTAACGCAAGAAAACAAAAAGGTGGCACGATTATGCTACCATAAACAAAGCCCAATGAAATTCATCATACCTTTAGTACTAGTAACTTTGACCTTCGTGAAGAAGGCAATCTCCATAAGGCCCCATTTATTGAGAAATTGATCACTATTTCATAGTCAGAGAAGCATCCTTCAAGGACAATACAATTTGGGTCTTTACTCTCTCATGAAAAAAAAATAAGAGTTCATTTATGAAGTATAGGGGTATTCATTTGGTTAGCATTGATGGTTTGATTTACAAATTAATTAAAACAACTAGTTTTGGTAGCAAAAATAAAAAAATTGAACCAATAAAATAATGTTTCAAACATAATTAAACCAAACAAAACTTTAATCTAGTCAATTTGATTCAATTTTGGATGAACCAAAATAAGGTTAACCTTAATAATATCTTCAATTATCTTAAACTAAAATAGTATATATTACGAAAAACATAAAGTAAACTTTCCTTAAGTTTATAATTTTGGCATGTTAAGTAAATAATATTCATGCTGAATTTTTTGTTACTTGTATATTCATCATTTAAGAGCTTTATTGATTTAGAATTTAAAGTTGGATTGTTCTCTTGTACAAAACAAACAAAAAAATGTCCAAAATTCAACACAACAACAAGAACAACTGGCATTTATCCCACTACAACATGAATCATTTTTCTCCATTGTGTCCTATTGTGTAATATTTTCGTTGTGATTCTAATACATTAAGAACATTTTTATACAATTTACTCAAGTCTTTTTAGGTCTACCTCTGTCTTTCTTAACATCAATCAAATCTAAAACATCTACTCTCCTACTCAGATCATGAGATAGTGGACATTTAATGTGACCAAACCATCTAAGATGACTTTCTAATCTTGTCCGCCACTGGAGCTACACCAACCCTATCACAGATATATTTATTTTACATTGTCTCTAAGTGTCAAGCCACTCATCCTAACACTTAACTTTGTTTTATGCTTTTCTTTTAAAGGCCAGCATTCTGCATCTTAGAGCATTGCAGGTATCACCAACCTCTTATAAAATTTTCCTTTCAGTCTATGCGGCACTTTTTTATCACAAAATAGGCTCTATGCACTTCTCCACTTCAACCAATCAACTTGAATTCTACTAATAGCATTCTCATCTATATCACTATCAATTTGAACAATAAACCCGAGATATCTATAACGTTCACACCTTTTAATGATTTGATCACCCATAGTTACAACTCTGTCACTAGAGCTACTACTACTAAACTTAGATTTCATGTATTTAGTTTTAGTTCTACTCAAACGAAGGCCTTTAGACTTCAAAGTAGACCTTCATAATTCAAGTTTTTCATGAACTTTTTTTCTAGTCTTATCCACAGCAACGATATCATCAGCAAAAAGCATACACCAAGGTACATCCTCCTGTAAATGTCCAGTAAGAGCATCCATAACTAAAGCAAAAAGATATGGGTTTAAAGCCGATTCCTGATGTAATCCAACTGAAATAGGAAAATACTTTGTCAATCCTCCGTCTTTTCGAACACAAGTAACATCTCTAACATACAAATCTTTAATGACTTGAATATAAGTCATATCAACACCTTTCTTCTCTAGAACTTTCCAAAGGACTTCTCTTGGATCCTTATCGTAAGCTTTTTCTAAATCAATAAAAATCATATGTAGATCCTCTTTATTCTCTATGTACTTATCCATCAAATCTCTCAATATATGTATGGCTTCTATAGTAGAGTTGTTCTGCATAAATCCAAACTGATTATAAAAAAATTTTGTATCAAGTCTTAACCTATGTTTAATTACTCTCTCCCATAATTTTACAACATAACACATCAACTTAATTCCTTTATAATTTACATTCTTGTGCATCCCCTTTATTCTTAAAAATG